AATGTAGTAAAACTGAATTACTGCTGCTCATTTCAAATTCATATATTTCCTAAAGGGTTTGATTTTTCCAAATAGCAAACTGCTAACCTATCAAGTAGTGGCAGATTGTAACAGACCTGATCATATTATTAGACAGATTGATGAACAGCTAAATCTGATAATCAGTGAAGCAGGGGTGAGGATCTGCAGATAAGTTATAAAGAAAAATGATGCAATTATTTTAATTTAGGTATTGGAACATTAGTTTCAGTATTTTATCAACAATAATTGAGAATAAAAATAATTATATACAGTAGTGCAAAAATAAGATAGCAAATTTAAATAACTCATAGTCTTTTATTCCATAACTAGTGTTTATGAACAACAAAATAGCCAGATGTACCTAGTAGAAAGAAAAGCCCAGAGTAAGGGCGTGGCCTGAACAACTTAAACTGCACCGTCATTCTCTAGAGATGGTTGCATCATTGATGTGATGTTGTCTGGCTAGAAATGGCGCTGTTGTCTGCTTGGCTTATTCTGATGCACAGAGTAAAACAGTGGTCTGCCAGGCAGTTCACACAGGGCAGCCAACTGGTGAAGGAAAGACAGTAGAATCTCCATTCTCACTGATTTCCCACCTTATTCTTTTTAAATGTCATTATATTTGTATGTAATATACACACTATATATATCTTATGTTAATGTAGGCATGCATGGAAATATTTATATGTAAATAGCTAGACACATAGTAATGATGTATACTAGAAAATATTTAATGAGATCACCAGTGTGGACAAAAGAAAGGGCCCTAGGTAGTTGAGACCTGCTTCAGTCACTTATTACTAATATAAACCTGTCAACTCTGTTTTATAAACCTTAAAATGGGAATAAGAATACCTGCCTTGACTTCCTTGCCAAGGGGAGGGAGGTGGGTGGAACAACTGGGTAATTGTAAATTGTACAAGAGCTGTATAAATTGCAGTAATTTCTTCAGCTCTTAACATCCTTTCATCACATATTCAGCGTACCATATGATCTTTGTAAAACAGTGGAAGACATTTTACTTTCAAATCAAAGTTTAAGAAAGTTTGAAATTTAGCAAGTCTATAATTCTGTGAGATGCTTCCAAATTCCCAAATGGTTTTGATATCTAGAGGTTTTAAATAAGATAAACTGGGGATTAGAAAAAAGAGATTAGAAGTATAAAATGTATTAGTTAACCTCAGGAGAAAGGAATATGAAGAAAATTAACAAAAGGTTAGGAGTAAATTAACAAGATAAAATGAACTAGTTGTAGCCTTCATTAAGAGCCAGCATTCTGACACTGCTAGTTTATTACCCTAGATGTTGCTTTAGTATTTGAGTATTTTGTTGGCCTGTTGCAGTTCTGAAATGAGACTGCTGAGATTTTAGCAAACATCTAATGGCTGTTTTAAAGACTAAGGCACTTTGAGATGCCAGTTTGGGCGCATACTGGGACTTCCTCATCCTAGTGTATAGAAGTTCTCAGGGATTGGTTCTTCTTTGACTCAGCTCTCTGTGTCACTTACAGGTTGAAGCTCCATTCATACCAAAGTTCAGAGGCTCTGGAGATACCAGCAACTTTGATGACTATGAAGAAGAAGATATCCGTGTCTCTATAACAGAAAAATGTGGCAAAGAGTTTTGTGAATTCTAGAGAGGAAAAAGATCCCATCAGAGCTCACACTCAGCCTCCACACTCTGCTGAGGTGTCAGGTGGAGCCGAGACCGTTCTTGTTGACGCAGTTACCTACTTCTCCATTCCAGCAACTGAGTGAGGTCCTTATTGCATCATCCATGTGCGCTCTGCAACCACCTATGTAACAAGGCACTGCTCCAAGCATTGTCTGTGCCATGACACAGTGTGGACCACTTTCCTACTTTTGAGTTGTTTTTCTCCTCCCTTCTACATCCTTTTTCATGAATTATTCTCTGACCAGTGCTCCATTTTCGTTTCTCGGTATTTTGAATGGGCAGTGTTATGGCTGTGTGATATTTAAAATGAAGGCTATATGTTGCTTTTTGTAGTTTTGGGCAATATTTTTGCTGACCAGTGGCTTGAAGATAAACTTTTTAATGATTAGGTTTACTGTGAGTAGCTCAGATTCAGTTTTGCCAAAATGCATAATAATTTTTGGAGATAGAATGTCTAATTAATCAAGGGAATTTGCATAAATTGAGACAAGAACTTTCTTGGCAGTCATCAATGTGGCAATAAATGTAGAGTCCTTAAATCAAGCAGCTTGGACCAGAGGTTCGATCTCCCTTTGTTTGCCTTTTATCTTTTCCTCTCCTTGAAAAATTAAGTAAGCAAACTAGATGGCTTGTTCATCAGGAAAAATGAGCGGCGTGGATCCTCACCCAGGCTGCCTTCCTTGGTACCAGCATTTCTGTAGGTTCACTAGAGAAGAGTTCTAGGGTGTCGTCACCTTCCCTCTTCCATGAAGGTTTTAGCCAGTATTTTAGTAGAGTACGATTGATAAAAATGACAATATTTTTGTTTGTTTATCAAATAGCCCTCATTGTCAATTTCTTAATGGCAAGCAAGCAAATGAAAAGGAACATGGATTTGGACTTTGCAGGTCAAACGAAAGACTGGATTCTTGCAGGCTGTATAGAGGTACTCTTCTTTAAATGGGGTCTTCTGTTTGGTTTGATTGCAACAGTTAGGAATGCAGGGCATTGCTGTGCCCTTATTATCCCCATGTGTTACATCATAACCCTAAGGCGGGGCACTGTTGCAACTTGGGCTTTTGAGCCCCTGCTTCAGCAGTGAGAAAAGGCAAAGCTTATGAAACTGCCACATTTGTATTTAATTTTGAGGTGTGATATCTTTAGGTATGTTGGAATTTCTAACCTCTTTTTTTCTCTTGGTAAACATAAGATCATGCAGATACAGTTTTAATATTTGAGTTTGATTAATTTTTTATACTTTCTTGCCAACTGACTTAACCATGTTGCCATCGTGCGGAAATTTCAGGCACTCTTGCACATTTAGTTCAGTGTTTGTTGTGAATCCATGGCTTAACTCAATTTTTTAAACTATTTTTTCTTTGCCTTTAATTTCCTCATCTGATTTTATCTCTTGTCTCAGTGACCTACCTTAAAGCGACACACCCAGATAGTTTGAAATAAAATGCATTCATTTTTACAATCAGTCTCCAGGCATATAAAATGAACTGTTTTTACTCAAACCAACCCTGATGTATATAAACCGCTATATCTGCTTCCTCACTGGTGCGGGTAGGTCACTGACACCACTTCCGTCCATCTGTACCCCCTTACTAACCTTTGAAGACAGTGACAAGTCCTGAGATGTTCTCACCACCTTATCTGCATGTCTTTTGGTTGTCAAGTGTTTCTGCATGGTAGTGTCCCACAAAGCCAGATAATGGTTTCAGTTGGTCACCTATATTTAAAATGTGCAAGAAATTTTTGAAATACTCTGCTGTAGCAAGTTTTATGTAACAAATATATATCACGGTGTTAATAGATTGAAAGCATCATTTGTATAAAATGTTTTACTTACTTTTTGTATTTCATTTAAACCCGAGAACACGCAAATCATTGTATTCTGTGTATACTGCCCGTTCTCTGGTAACTTTGTTGTATATTATTGTAAGATTATTTCAATAAATCATGAGGATGGCAATTTGATTATTATAGTTTAGTCTTAAATAATTGAACAGATTTCTATGAATTCTAAAAACATTTTTTTCTATGAAATTACCCAGCTATTGAGTCTACCCAGGTAGAGGACCCCTAGGCATGCATTGGGATTTGAAGCCTATTCAGCCATCCATTTTACTGTCTCTATTTTAAGAACATGAGCACACTGTCAGATATGTCAGAGGAGTCTATTTCTGACTAATCAGGTTCACTAAATTGGAATATTTTTAGCATATCTAAAATTCTCATTTTTCAGCCACAATGTAGTCAAGATTTTTTTTAACTTGAATAATAAGTCAGTAGCAAAAAGAAAAAAAGAAAGCGGTATTTAAACTCAAATTATATTCCATGTAACAGAAGAAATTAAGTTTTTTCCCAGTAAATGGAGGGATGGAATTATGTAGGACAGAGCCCTAGACTGATACTGAAGGTGCCTGTGTTTCAGACCAGAAAGCTCTCCAGATGGCCTTGGCACAGTCCTCCATCGAAGGGAAGAGCTGAGACAGGCACTTTCTGTGGTCCCTTCTAACTTCTCTATTTCATGTCAAGATTCATTCTTTATCTGACATTCTGAAGGGATCTCGTGCTTTAAGTTTCTGTAAAGTGGTACATGTGGTGCACACTTCCTCTGACCTCTGACAATGTTCTTAAAATCCTTTGACCATCACAAGATCCCTGTATCTGTCCTGATTCCTTTGTCATTCACTGATGCTAAACATACAGTTGATATCAAACTGTCAACCTACCAAAAACGACACCGTGGCTTATGGGTATTGCCGTCTTGTTCTTGGTATGTTCTTGTACTGACTGCCCCTTGGTCTGAAAACATACTCATTTGTAAACCTAAAAATAAATCATTTTTCTTTCCCACTGTTTTTTTATTTTTTTCTGCTTGTAAGAATCAAATGAAATAATGTCTGTGGAAGCACCTTGTAAACTGTAAGCTATCAATGTAAAATGTAAAGGTGTGTGTTATTTCATTAATTACTTCGTTTAGAGTGGAATTTCCTATGCACTATTATAGCTAGGAAATGCTGAAAACAACTGTGTTTTTTAATTAATCAATAACTGCAAAATTAAAGTATCTTCAAAGGACAAAAGCTATTGAATCTTGAATTCTGTTTGATGCCCTCAGCTGTGGATTTACTTCCTGCTAACACGCTAGATGGGTATGGGTCCCTAATTTTCATATAGTTGGGTTGATATTTGGGGGTTGGGAGCAGAGCATTCGAAAGAAGAATGTCTACCAATCTACACACTGGATCTTCATTGAGCATCTGCTAGGGAAAGCCCAGGGTCTCTACGAAGGGTTTTACTTCCGCATTATGCTTCAAATTACTCCTAACATGATGTTGGAATGGCTCATATTTATAAGTGATGCTGCAAGGCCTCTTCCATGCTAGGATGGTGAATTATGACCTTGTGTTTTTTTTTTCTTCAGGATTGCTTCAGAGCTCAGTTCTTCCCATCGTAGTCAGGTTGATTAGAGAACATGTCTATAACTGCCCTTTACCTCACAAAATCATCAGTTTTAGACAATACTTTTAATAGCTTATAATTTTTGATGATTGTAAGCATTTATGAATATTTATGCAATTTTATAACATGGTGCTTACTGGTTTCATATCCATTAGCTTTCTTCGGTCATTATTAGGGCTTAATGTAAATTCTAGTTTTCCTGTTTCCTCATAAAACTAATTATAAAAGGCATAAGATTTATACGATCTGAAGAGAATAACCACATAAATGACTGGCACAGCGAACTATATTGGTACAGTAGTGGCACTTTTATCTCGGTAATCAACAGCTATGTAATTGGAATTAAAACCCACTCAATGGGAGGAAATTTATGTGTGCTGTAAACAGAGCCAAATACAAATGGCTGGAGAGGTCATAGATCTTAGAGAAAACCCCAAGGTTGTCACATACCTAGACAAATGTAATTTCTTACTATATGCAAAATAAGGATCTTTATATTTACAGACAAGTATCCCAGTCACCACCCATCAAAGAAGCTTCTTTTGCAACAGATGGAGATTGTAATAGAGTTCCATAATTGGTCACACACAGAGATTGTCAGTGAATTGCCCAACCTTTAGTGACACATCTACAATGCAATGCAACCTCTACACCTAAAGCTTATGGAACATAGTGGAACAAAAGGTAGAGAGAACACTAATGCATCTCTCAGTTCTCATCAATGAAGCTCCTTCATGCAACAGAGGGCCATGAACACAAAAGAACACAAATGGCCAAAGCATAGAGAATAAGAGTCCGCACAGTGTGGGTCCCTGGACAGGACTCCTGTATTAAACTCCACCACCCAAGGCTTAGGGACCATTGCAGAAGAGGGGGCAGAAAAATTCTAAGACCCAAGGAGGAGGTGCATGACCATATGGAAACAGTTCTACAGACTCCTTGGACCGTGCTTATACAAGCCTACAGCAATGGTGTCAGCATGCAAAAGAGCCATGCAAATTCAAGCAGACAAAAACCCAGCACAGAATTGTGGAAATGGACAGCAGACCCCAATCTTAGCCAAAGAACTGTTGGCAGCTGGTTACTGCTGGGTGAGGAACACTTGATCTTAAAGGGAGAGACTAGACCTCAGTGGATGAACTTGCACTGAGGGATGTCTGGGACACTGATTGACTATCTGATAGGTCTTAACACAAATGACAGAATGTATGAAATCCAATGGGGATGGGGAAGGGGGTATAAATATGATTAAGATATTCTATGAAATACAAAGAAATTCAGTTAAAATTTTACCAAAAAAAATTAGTTATAAAAGTCTGGGCATGTCTTTACTCCAAAACTATTACTAGTTGAGACCCAATTAATAAATTTCTTCTTATGTGCAAATACTGCATGTGACGTTAAATACATCTTTTCATGTTAGCTTTTCTGGAGATTTTCTATATACTTAATAGCTTTTGTTCCACTCTGATGGACTCAGTTGTACATCTTGTTATGAATAAATTCATATGCTAGCCAGGCATGGTGGTACACACCTGAAATCCCAGCACTCAAGAACCTGGAGCAGTGGCATGGTGAATCAGTACTGTGAAAATGACCATCTTAACAAAAGCAATATGATTCAATGCAATCTCAATCAAAATCCCCATGACATACTTCACAGAATTCGAAAAAAAAAAAAAAAAAATCCTTAAATTCGTATGGAAGCACAAAAGACCCTGGATAGCCAAAGCAACTCTGAGAATGAAGAGCAACACTGCGGGGATTACTATACCAGATCTCAAAGTATACTACAGAGCTATAGTCATAAAAACAGCATGGTGCTGACACAAAAATAGACACATAGATCAATGGAACAAATTTGGAGACCCAAACATGAGTACTTGCAATTTCAGCCACCTGATATTTGACAAAGGTGACAAGAACACACAAATGGAGGAAAAACAGCACCTTCAACAAATGGTGCTGGCAAAACTGGATCTAAAGTATACTACAGAGCTATAGTCATAAAAACAGCATGGTGCTGACACAAAAATAGACACATAGATCAATGGAACAAATTTGGAGACCCAAACATGAGTACTTGCAATTTCAGCCACCTGATATTTGACAAAGGTGACAAGAACACACAAATGGAGGAAAAACAGCACCTTCAACAAATGGTGCTGGCAAAACTGGATCTCCATGTGTAGAAGAATGAAGAATGAAAGATCAACAATCAACCAGTGGGACCTCATTAAATAAAAAGCTTCTGTACAGCAAAAGAAACAAAGTGAAGAGAAAACCCACAGAATGGGGGCAAAAAAAAAACTTCACCAGTGACACATCTGACAGAGGTTTAACATCCAGAATATATAAAGAACTCAAAAAACAAAGAAGCAAGAAAGAAAATGACCCAATTAAAAGATGGGCTAAAGATCTAAACAGAATTCTCAAAAGAAGAAATAAAGATGGCTGAGAAACATCTTAAAAGTTGTTCAGCATCGTTAGTAATTACGGAAATGCAAATTAAAACCAACTTAACATTTCATCGTACCCCAGTCAGACTGGCTATGATCAAGAGAACAAATGATACGAAATGCTGGTGAGAGTGTGAAGAAAGGGGAACGCTCATTCACGGCTGGCAGGATTGTAAGCTCGTGCAACCCCCATGGAAAGCAGTGTGGAGAACTCTGGAAAAATCTGGTGTTCTTCTGTAGTGTCACCACTAACAGGTGAGCAGAGACTACACTGAGATTGTAAGAGCCAGGGAGGAGGTGCAGAACCATACGGACCCTTCCCATACAAACCTTCAGCGATGGCGTCAGCATGCACAAGACCCATGCAAACTCAAGCAGACAGAAACCCAGCACAAAACTGGAAATGAGCAGCAGGCCCCAATCTTAGTTGAAGAATTACTGGCAGCTGATTACTGCTGGGTGAGGAAGCGCTGATCTTAAAGGGAGGGACTCTAGCTAGGCTGACTAAATCCTAGGGGATGAACTCGCACTGAGGAATATCTAGGGATATTAACTTTACATGATAAGCCTTAACACAAATGACAGAATGTATGAACTCTGGGATGGGGATATGGGAGGGTGCCAAAGCGGAAGGGGATATAAAGATGATTTTCCGTATGGAATATTCAGAAATTTAAGAAAAAATGTAAAAAATAAATCATCAGAAAGTGAAGTGTTGATGAGGAAACCCTGGTTGGACCATGGTTTAGGTGCTGGGTCATAATGCTCAGTACATGATTACCTTAAGGAATTATTTTTCCGTCGCTGCTCTGTCTCCACAAGCTAAGTGCTTAAACTAGCACAAGTGTATTTCCTCACAGCTGTGGAGATCTAACATCCACAGAGAAATCCGCTGGTCTAAAATGGCTAGAAACAGAACTGTTTCTGGGCCTCAAAGGAGTGTTCCTGGCCTTTCTCGGCTTCTTCAGGCCACCCACATATTTCCTGTGACGTAGGGTACCATCTCCATCTTGAAAGCTAGCGATACTGGGCCAAGTCCTCACACTGCCCTAATTGTACCTCTTCTGCTTCCCTGTTTCACTTTCGAAGGCTGCTATGATAGGACTGGGGATACAACTCTGGCTGTCTTCTTGCCTATGTATACAGGCTCTGGGTTTGGTCCCCAGCACCTAGTGTCCCTGTTTCGAGGTCAGCTGATGAGCAAATTTAATTCCATTTGCTGCCTTAATTCTTCCTATATGGTCTAAAAAAAATAACAATGAATTATTTTTTAAGATTTTTAAATTTCTGTAAAATGTATTTATGTCTGTGTGGGGGTATGTACATGAGAGTACAGGTGCCTGCAGAGGCCAGAAAAGGGTGTTGGATTCCCCTGGAGCTGGAGTTAATAGTGCCTTGGGCACTGCCCACATGAGTGCTAGAAACTAAACTGCAGACCTCCATAAGAGCAACACATGCTTTTAACCACTGAGCCCATCTCTCCTAGAATGAATATTTGAAAGGAAAAAAATTAATTTAAAAATGTGGGAATTTTAATAATTATGTAAGTGTTCTAAAAAGAGGTGATAGAGAATATGGTTATAAAGAACCTAGAGAAAAAAACACTCCTAGGATGAAGAAAGACTCAAACCAATAAATTGTCCAATAAATTGCCAAACAGAACTAAAAAAGCAAATATCCGGGGCTGGAGAGATGTCTCAGTTGTTAAGAGCACTGACTGCTCTTGCAGAGGACACAGGTTCGATTCCCAGCACCCACATGGCAGCTATGAACTGTCCTTAACTCCAGTTCCAGGGGAATCCAAAACCCTCTTCTGACCTCCACGGCAGTGCACAACACAGGTACACTCACACACATGCAGACAATACACTCTTAAACATAAAATAAAAATAATAAATGAAATATTTTAAAAAGAACATAAAATTTTCTTTTAAAAAAAGCAAATATCCATATCGACATGTGGACACAGAGCTAGATGGAACTCTTCAGGATTCCTACAACAAAGTCCTAACTAGCTCCCAGGGTGGACTAGATTATCCTCAAAGGAACGATTTATTTCATAAGACACAAGAATGTAAAGAAAATTAACCTTCTTTACTTAAGCAACTACTGTTTCATTACCAGGTAGGGAAGCACCTCATTCCCAGGCACTCACTGACCTA